ATGCCATCAGGTGTGGAAACATAGTTACATCATGTAAAACATTAAAATCCAGGAAACTTAGCCCAAATTGTGTGCTATCTTTTTTAATCACATTGTATGCTATCTGTGGTTTTTTTGTTTTCTCAGATGTATGAGAGTCATATTTTTTTTAAATTTTCTCCAAGATAGTTCCTGGTACTCACAATAGAATCATCCTAAACAAAAACAAAACCTTAGGTACTAAATATGCTTTCACAATGTTTACTCTACCTAAAAATAAAACCTCTCCTTTTTTTAAATTTTGTCTTTTTGAAAATTAAGATTCAGAGTTAGCAGTTCATAATTTACGGGTATGCATCTTTCTAGCTCCAGCATTATTTTTAGACCCAAATAATCTATCTGGTTGTTATCCCAACTAAACTGTAATTTACTATGTAACCATTGCTTTTGGTTAGATGATAACCCTTTACGTATAATTTGGGTTTTGTGTAGGTTTAGCTTATAATTAGAGTAATATCCATATTCCCAAATAATCGATATAACTGTGGGAATGGATGTATCAAGTGTTGTTAGGGTTAGAAGTATGTCATCTGCATACAGTGTTATTTTCCTTTCTGTTCACTATGATGCCCCTTATCTCCTCCGCTTGTCTAATCATTGCCGCCAATGGTTCAATGGAAAGAGCGTGAAGCATGGGGGTTAAGGGGCACCCCTGCCTAGTGCCATTATGAACATCGAAAAACGATGAGCACAAGAAGGGACCTGTAATTTTAGTTGTCGGATTGCTATACAGAGCCATGGAGCAGTTTTTAAATAATCCTCTGATCCAAAAAGAGTCCATTGTTTCAAATAAGAAATCCCAACTCACTCTGTCAAATGCCTTCTCGGCATCTAATGCCAAGAAGGCTATCGACACAGGCCTCTGTTGTACCTCCTACACCAGATTCATTGTCATCCCCCGATATACCCGGAATAAATCCTGATTGATCTGAATCCACTAAGTCTGAAACAACTGCCCCCAACCTATCTGCAAGAATTTTAGAGAAAATGTTTATGTCTAAGTTTATGATAGATATAGGCCTATAGTTTGAAATGAAACTTGGGTCTTTCCCTACCTTGGGTATAGGACAAATTGAGGCTCGAATCTCCTTGGGAATATCCCCTTTTTCGCCAAACACATTAAACACTCTCAGCAGTAACGGTGACATCGCAGGGTTCGCTATCTTGTAGAACATTGCATTTTTAGAGCCCCAATTGCTTTTTTAACTTCTCCCAAAGAAAAGGGTTGATTTAACCTTCCAAGATGTTCTTCTGTAATTCTTGGAAGATTTGAATTTTGTAAAAACATTTTCATTTTTAATTTGGGTATCTCGTTATGTTTGATATTATTATATTATATAAAGAATGGTGGTGGTGTAGGGTTTCTCCTCTCCCCTCACTGCTCCTTTAAATATCTACCCACCCCCCTTCTCTCTCTTTCCCATCATTTCAAATACATTTAATTCGCCTTTTCAAACCCTTCTCTGCTAACATTGCTGTTATTTATTGTATCCCTGGTTCCCATCTTCTCTTCCTTGACCAATTTGCTGCCTGGCTACCCTATTTCCTCTCTTCTAACATTCCATCCCTAATTCTCGGGGACTTCAATATTCCTATTAACCCACCTTTGACCTCTGCAGCCTCTAAACTACTTTCAATTACTTCCTCCCTCGGGCTATCGCAGCGGGCTAATTCTCCCACCCATGTAGCTGGCAATACCCTTGACCTAATCTTCTCTTATGCATGTACAGCATCTAATATCTGCAACACTCCATTTCTTCTCTCTGATCACCACCTCTTATCATTTGCTCTCGTGTACCCCCTCACCCAACAACCTCAGCCTAACCCCTCTCAACTCAGGAGGGACCTTAATTCTCTTGATCTCCAGCAGTTGTCAGTTGATATTGATTCATGACTGCTGTCCATCCCTTCCCTCTCCTGTCCTTCACTGGCCATCTCTGCATATAACACTACCCTCACTTCTGCCTTGAATGCTGCAGCACCCCTCCAAACAAGCACCTTGAGGAAGACCCGCCCCCAACCATGGCATACTAAATAAACACGCTACCTGCAAAGATTGTGCTGAACGCTCCTGGAGGAAGTCTTGCACCCATTCAGACTTTCTCCATTAAAGATTCATATTGTGTTCATACAGCACAGCCCTTGCCCTTACCAAACAGTCCTACTTTTCCTCTCTCATTAGTTCATGCTCCCGCAATCCCAGGCGTCTCTTTGACACCTTTAATTCTCTTCTTTGCCCTGCTGTGGCCACCCCCCAAACTAACCTTACTGCTGATAACTTTGCATGTTGCTTTACTGACAAGATTGAACAGCTAAGGAAAGAATTCTCACCTCCTTGCCATTCTGTTTCTCAACCACACATAGATCATGCCTTTCCTACCCTTCAGACATTCTCCCTGGCTACTGACCAAGAGGTGGCTGCTCTTATCTTTTCCTCTCGCCCCACCACTTGCTTGCTCGATCCTGTCCCATCTCACCTTATTAGATCTCTCTCCACTTGTCTCGTGCCTTCCTTAACGCACATCTTCAACTGCTCTCTCTCTTCTGGCATTGTCCCTGCTGACCTTAAACATGCCACTGTAGTACCTATCCTAAAAAAAAAACATCCCTCGACCCGTCCACCCCCTCTAACTATCGTTCCATATCCCTGCTCCCTTTTTCCTCAAAGCTTCTGGAAAGACTTGTTTTTACCCGTGCGTCTCATTTCCTCAATTCCAACTCTCTCCTTGACCTTCTTCAATCTGGCTTCCGCCCTCTCCACTCTACTGAGACTGTGCTTATCAAAGTTACTAAAGACCTAATCGCAGCTAAATCCAAAGGCCACTACCCCATACTAATTCTTCTTGACCTCTCTGCGGGCTTTGACACCGTTGATCATGCTCTCCTTCTTCAAACTCTTCAATCACTTGGTCTCTGTGACTCTGTCCTCTCATGGTTTTCCTCTTATCTCTCCCAATGCTCATTCAGTGTCTCCTTTTCTAGTGATACCTCCTCCCCTCGTCCTATCTCGGTTGGAGTCCCTCAAGGCTCTGTCCTTGGTCCCCTTCTATTTTCTCTTTATACTGCCTCTCTTGGCAAACTTATTACATCTTTTGGATTCCACTACCACCTGTATGCTGATGACACCCAGTTATATCTCTCCTCCCCAGACCTCTCCCCTGCCATCCTACAACGCTTTCTGAAACTCAATCTCTCTAAAATTGAGCTCCTTGTCTTTCCTGTATTGGCGTCATACTTGATTCTGGCCTCACCTTTGAGCCTCACATCCAGCATGTGGTCAAATCCTGTAGATTCCATCTTAAAAACATAACCCGCATCCGCCCCATTCTTACACAAGATGCTGCCAAGGAGCTTGTCCATGCTCTAGTAATTTCCCCCATGGATTATTGTAACCCTCTCCTGATTGGTCTTCCCAAAAGCCGTACTGCACCGCTACAGTCCATAATGAACGCTGCTGCCAGACTGATTTTCCTCTCTAGTCGTTTCTCTCATACCTCACCCCTCTGCCAGTCCTTACATTTCATTCCTGTATGCTATAGGAGTCAATTCAAGGTACTAATTCACACCTATAAAGCACTGAACAACTCTAGCCCCTCTTATATCTCCTCACAGATCTATAGGTATGTCCCTTCTCAGTCTCTCCGCTCTGCCCGTGACCACCTTCTGTCCGTTGTCCGCATCCGTACGGCCAACTCACGCTTGCAGGACTTCTCGTGGGCGGCTCACTTCCTATGGAATAGCCGGCCTACCGCCATCAGACTCTCTTAGGAAAGCTTATGGCCTCCAAGACTAACCTCTACCTCACATACCTGTCTCTTGCTCTCTCCTAAAGGGCAGCCCACCTTATTTGACTGCAAACTCCTGTCCTAATGTGTTTTACCTATAGAATGTAAGCTCAATTGAGCAGGGTCCTCTTCAACCTATTGTTCACGTTAGTTTTTTTAAATTGTCCTATTTATAGTTAAATCCCCCACTCATAATATTGTAAAGCGCTACGGAATCTGTTGGCGCTATATAAATGGCAATAATAATAATAATAAAAAAATAAAAATTCCTAAATGCTTCTTCCATGTGAGCTGGATCTAATAACGTCTTACTGTTAACTATTCATTTTTGAATTCTAGTTCTTTCTATTTTTTGCTTTAGTTTATTGGTAATTCTGGGTGCGTTCCATCGTAATTTCCTCCTCTTCCTAGATTTCGTTTGTGCGTTATCTCCTATTTGGAATGCATTGATGCGTTCCATCGCCCACCTTACAGTTCACTGTTCTTGTTAGTCCATAATAGTGCTCAGCAGAATATATAAAATGGGAGGAGAAAGAAGGGAAGGGGTGAAAAAGGGAGCCATGAATTATACATGAGGAATTAAACCTCTAAAAGGGGTCAAGGCAATGTTTCATACAATTCATTCTTTTTGGGATGATGCATTGAAGTACATTTTCGAAGGAGTTTGTGTAAAATGACACATTAAAACGTATTAATACATATAGTGTGCTATATAATACAGAGAAGATAGATTTTATGTTAAACACATACTAAACAATATTTGATCAGTGTATGATCATATAATGTAACTAAACCCCCATTATTTTTGCCTAGATTAGGTGTTTTAAAAAAATCTAATAAAATCTGTCAACTTTGAAGTTACTGTTTAGTGGATAAGGAAGTGCGCTGGATCTTGTGTATTATATATATATATATATATATATATATACATTTAAAGAACAAATGGAAAACCATTTTTGAAATTGCAAAAAGCTGATCAAATCAAGCTTATGTTTGAAGAATATTATCCCTTTAACAAAGTATGCACAGCAATTAACATATCAGGAGAAATTGATTAAGACAACACGAAAATAATTGTCTCTTAGTTTCGGCAGCCTTTTAGAAGAAAGCTTTTCTTATACTGAGGGGAAGAATAGATTCTGTTCAGTACTTTGAACCTTGTAGCAGTAGGAATGTAGGCAGCCCAATCTCCAGGGCACGGTACACTCAGTTTAATTGCATTGCAGAGGCACATGAAAATATAAAGAAATACAAAAGTCTCAATTCACGCAATAAACGATCATGTCACTGGGGAATAAAGTACGTGATGCTACAAATGAAGTACATCAAGACAAATAAAAGGTATTTTCATCATGAGCCTGATTGCATCAATGAATCACACTGCTTTCACTGTTACCCTGTTGCCACGGGCATCAGGTGCCACAATTCAAGTGCCAATAAGCATAAAAATAAAGAGGTGTAAGATGAGGTATTTATTTATTCAATGCCAGGTTTAAGATGTGTAATCCTCCCAGGCTTACAATCTGTACCATATTTAAGACGTTTGGCTGTCAAGCAACATACAGTCAACGCAGCTGCAAGCCAAAAAATCTCTGCAATCTAACAGAGACACAAAACACAAAACAAAAAAAACAACTTTTTTTTGGATAGACAGAGAAAAGACCCTGAAATAATGTGACTGCTTTAATGTAGACAAGTACCTTCATTTACCTAGAAGTGTTCTATTTCAAGGGCTGACAAGACAAGGATTAAAGACCATTTTGCTGGAGCTTTCTGTATATTTAACCCTGTGGTAGCAGACTGGAAGAAGGAACACATTCTGTTGCAATGTGTCACAGTCTCCTCTGGCAGCTATAATTGGTATTGATACAGCACACAGAAATCATGATTGGCCTTAGCTGTTACCATGGTTAAGATGATTGTTGAGATACTTTTTTTTCTTCTTTTTTTTTTTTAATTGCTCAAAAATATTCCAGCCTATGCCCCATTACTTATTTTTGAGCGACAAATTGCATTGCATTATTCAGTGCTATACACAACCATAATAAAACTGGAATTATTGTAACTGCATGTCTGTAAGGCTGTCTAAGACACTCTGTTTTATCCTATTATGAACGCTTCTACTACAATCGCATTCCAATGCAAAGGGAGGAGACTGAGAATTAGGTGTCTAACTGCAATATGCCTAGATTAACACACACATGCCTAATTGTTTTTTGTTTTTTTGTGTTGTAATTGTTTAACCCCTTAAGGACACATGACGGAAATATTCCATCATGATTCCCTTTTATTTTAGAAGTTGTGTCCTTAAGGGGTTAAATAGCTGCCAAAATATTTTTGTTATTCCTAATATGTCACATGCTCTCAGTTTACATTACATGATGAACCAGCTTTATACTAATACTGGGTAAAATGCTTCCCTGATGGGTACATATGTTTGACACCGATGCAATTAAGCAATGCAGTTTCGGAACTTATGCTGCTTTAGTTAAAAAAGCAATGTATTATTTGTCTACCTCTCGGGGTTTGTCTGTTGGGTTTTTACCATATGCCAGTAGGTCTGTTGTGTGTGTTTCAGGAAAATATACTCATTTAATATAATTCAAAACTAATCAGCAAGAACACATCTCAAAAGTCTATACAGTGTACATCTTTTTCTGGCTATCATAAATATTACAATAATTAATTCATACTGATAAAATTCTAAAGTTGTTAAAATGTGATAAATCCATTCTTTTTAGGTAATAGTTAAGTTTTATTACTGTTACTGAGGAAGTAGACAGCATTCATACCTCTGTAAACCACAGTAAATCTGTAGACATTTCAGATTAGCATATAACAATGCATTTGATGAATTATGGAAGATATTTACAAAATTGTAAAGAAAAATGTGGTGTTTTATTGCAAGCTTTAATGGCTATATATCATTCCAAACTATACTAGTAAAACATGCTAAATGCAGTATCTTTGTTCCACTTGATATCGTAGATGGGGGATCAATTGCACCCATGTAAGTACCCCGCAACATGGTATGTCAAGACTTGGATCCTGATAGCAGTTAAGTTGGTTCCATATCATGCTGGTTACTTTTTCATCAGAAAAGTTATGTTCCTCTAGGTTTGAGGAGTACTGTCACTCCTAAAGTGACTGCTTCTTGCTCAATTTTCCCCAACCCTATTAAATGCTATTACCTCATTTATCGGGGTAAATATAGCAGCAGGGCTAGGTACAAAAACCTTTCCATGGTGCTGTCCCATGATGCCTCGGAGTGTTCATGTGCTCTTTGGCACCTATACAGAAAGGTGGCATGAGCACGTACGCTGTCTGGGCAGCTGTATATGATCATGTGCTTTATGCACAGCATTTCCAAGGGTAGACTAATTTACATGTCTTGAATGCTGTTCTAAGCACAGCAAATAAAGGGTTAAAATAGAAACACATGGGATTTTGAAAAGAATGAATAGCATAAGAAATAACTAACTTTTGGTTGTATAACTTTTTCATTAGTAGTATTATTGAAATAGTAGGCTAGTAATATACTCAATCCTCTGGCAACATTGTAAAGTGACTTGTGAGTATGTAGATTGCTGTGGCGAAGGTGAAATCAGGCAACAGTATCTTTCAAAACTGACTACACACACATTATGATACAAGGCAAATAACATCAAATGGAACCAATAAATCATTCTGTTATATCTATCACAATTCCAGGTGGAAATGCCCCAATCAAATATATATTTGGACCCAAAGGAGGACAAACAAGGACTTAATATTGATATTTATATTTTAAACCAATTTTATTTTTGGTTTTATTCGAAATAAACTTTTTCTCTCAAAGTCCCCTTTTTATTTTTTTTTATCTCCATTTGATCTTTCCGGTTCCTAGAGGGAAGTGTCACCCTAGAATTTGACACTAAATGGAAATTTTGGAGCCAGTTATATAACAGGCTCCTAATAAGGTGAGCAGGATATATTTGTATATTTTACTCTCTGATTGTTCCAAACAGCTTCACCTAGATTTTCGTTTTCTCAGTTTTATCTCCATATCTACTATTGGGAGTGAACACATAGAAGTAGGTTTTCTGGTGCACCTAAAAGGCCCAGATCTACTCTCTGTTTTGAGCTGATATCGAAAAAGGCTCATAAAAATGTGAGTTTATGTATGTATGTACTCACTTAAACATAAATTTAACAAGCAATATACAATATTATACTATTGTATTCCTCTGTTCTTTTTTTACATGTGGAAAAATCCCCCATATTTATCTGAGGGGTAAGTGTAAATAGAAAGCGCTGCACTTTGGGACTCTGTGTGTTGGGTGGTGGGGTAAATCACCTAACCATTGAGTTCACCTTTTGTCTATATCCTGTATTTTAGTGGATTTTGGGGATATCCACTAAGGGTGTTATAGCTGCCGGCACTATAATAGAATTATTATCAACATTGTGAAGTGCCTTAGATTCACTGTTTCTAGAATTTCTGTTCCAAAATATAGATTATGTTTCATATCTTGACAGTCAATAATTTTTAAAAGGGAGTGTGACTGCCACAACTAATAACATTAAAGCGGCATTGTCATGCTGAACTTACCTTTCTTTATTCGATTCCTCTTCTCTTCCTCTCTCAGGATCTGTTCTTCATTTCTTCCTGTATGCTAGGTTTCTTTAAAACATAAGACAAAGTAGGGACTATTTGTCTTATGGAGGTTTCCTACGCCTGACCATCTCTGACCAGCAGAGGAGCAAAGTGTGCTTTCATTTCCGGTGGTCAGAGCAATGTTCCCACAATTCTCACCTTTCCTATGTGTTCCCGCGAAGCCTCCTTTTACTTTTCTCGAACGTCCTGTCCTTTAGACAGAACGCCGGCGAAACTACTGAATTGCGTCCTAACAGAATGAGAACAGTTACTCCATTCATGTTAGGAGGCAATTCAGGACTTATGAATGATATGAATGAAACTCCGATCCTATTCGTGCCACGGCTGCATCTTGCAGCCGCTTAGTAGATAACTCCCTAATTCCCATGGTATCAGGGAGCTATCTACCAAAAGGCTGCAAGACCTAAATTGGTCTTTCAGCCAAACTTACTAATACTAAGTAAAGATTACGTAGTATTAGTAAATTCTGCACCTACTCGCTATATTGCGAGTAGGGGAATGTCTACAAAACAGGGAGCAGCCAGTAGCTGCTCACTGTTAAAAACCCCAGAGTCCCCCCTCCCGAGCCCCCACCCGTACTGGGGCTATTAAACTGAAGGGGGGACCGTGAGCGGCGGGTGGGGACCCTAAATGAGAATGGGGGGGAGCTATTGTCCTCGCACCCGGTCGCACCCCTGAGCGGTGGGTGGGGGCCCTAAATGAAAATGTTACTCCCCCCCAGGTTACTCGGGGTCCCCAAGCCCCTAGTCACCCCCCACATCCAAAACAAAAATTAAGAAACAAACTAAGTACCTGTAAAAAAAAAAAACTTACCATTTTCTTTTTTCTAAAATCTTTATTATTCAGCCCCCAAAAATTTTTTTTACAGGTAGTTCAGGAGTGGGGGCTGGGGGGAGGACAATAGGTCCACACCGCCTCATTCTCATTTAGGGCCCCAACCCGCTGCTCGGGGGTGGGGGCCCGGGGAGGACAATAGTTTCACCCCCCTCATTTTCATTTAAGGTCCCCCACCCGCCGCTCAGGGAGTGGGGGCCAGGGGGAGGGATAATAGATCCCCCCATATTCTCAGGGGTGGGGGTCAGGGGGGAGGACAATAAGTCACCCCCACATTCTCATTTAGGGCCCCCAGCCGCCACTCATGGTTGGGGACCAGGGGGAGGACAATAGGTTTCCCCCCACATTCTCATTTAGATCCGCCGCTTAGGGGTGGGGGCCAGGGGGAGGACAATAGGTCTCCCCCCACATTCTCATTTAGATCCGCCACTCAGGGGTGGGGGCCAGGGGGAGGACAATAGGTCCCCCCCTCATTCTTGTTTAGGGCCCCCATCTGCCGCTCAGGGGTGGGGTTTGGGATTGAGGACAATGTGTTCCCCCATCATTCTCATTAATGCCCCTACCCACCGCTCAGAGGTGGGGGCCGGAGGGAGGGACAATAGGTCCCCCCCACGTTCTCAGTTTGGGTCCCCACCCGCCATTCCGGGGTGGAGGCCGGGGGGGGAGGACAATAGGTCCACCCCGCCTCATTCTCATTTATGGCCCCTACCTGCCGCTCAGGGGTGGGGGCCGGGGGGAGGACAATAGCTCCCCCCCTCATTCTCATTTAAGGTCACCACCCCCGCTCAGGGGTGGGGGCCAGTGAGGGAGGACAATAGGTGTCCACCTCCTCATTCTCATTTAGGGCCCCACCCGCCGCACAAGGGTGGGGGCTGGGGGGGAGGACAATAGGTCCCC